AGCTTGTTTGTAAGTCACTTTTTTCAGTGCCATTATGATTTTGAAGTCACTAAATAAATGGTTGTAAGTCAAGGGCTATCTGTGCAGGTGCTTTTTGTGAGTTGTAACTTCCCAATAAATAGTCATATTTTATGGTGCTTAAAGGGCTAAATTGTTCAAGGATCTTTAAAAAAACTTTTAAGAATTTCTTTTCTACTGGAATATATCTTGGGATCTTTAGTGGTGGCACAGTATGAGTGGGGAAATACTTCCTTTTTTATTGGATATTTTTCTGTTGAAATGCATACCTTTCAAGTAGGCATGGTGGAGTTGTTGTTTTTTTCCTCCAGGAGGGATTATCGTGGGGAAAGAATACCAACCCTAAAAGAAGCAGTTTTGGAAAGTTTGCATCACGACCTCATCATCTACTTTGATGTCAAGGGACATGCCGATAAGGTACCTTTTAATAGCTTTTCCTTTCCTGTAGAGCTCTTCCATTTGACAAAATGTTCTGACGATAACATTGCTGAAACAAACGAAGTGGCTTTTTTTTAACATTTATTATTCATTGCGCTAAAGTAATGACTGCATGAAGGTTTTCTCAGAAATGCTTTTTCTTTAATTCATAGAGCTGTGTTAAGAAAGAGGCAGAGAGCTGGTGGACTTTGGTTTTTTTAAAGGCACTTATTAACAGCAAATTTTTTCTGATAGTATAGAGTACATTGCATCAAGATACTGATCTCTACATACGGTAGTGGCCAGAATTGTGGAGAACTTTTGGAAAAAGTGTATTTTTGAGGTTTGATGACTAATAACACCACTTTTTTTTTTAATAGTACCATAAAATTATATATCAATGGAAAGATAATTTAATCAAGAATGTAATACAATAAAGTTGATTGTAGTCTATAAAAAAGTATAGCCAAATATAGCCAGCAGTTAATAGAAGCAATCATTCAATCTTGGCTTCATGTTATAACAGCTGCAGAACTAAAAGACTTGGTTCACTCCATGGGAAGATGTTGTAAGGCCGTAATTCATGCTAAAGGTTACCCAACTAACTGACATAGTGATAATTTTTGTATATCTCATTTTTTCTATGGTGTAATTTTTGTACTTCTCATTTCTTCTTCTTTATAACTGCTATTCTAATAGCAAATCCTTCATAAAAGTTATTACATTACATTCTTGATTAAATTATATAATTTTATGGTACTACTTCAAAAAAAAAAGTGGTGTTATTAGCCATCAAACCTCAAAAATACTGTACAATTTTCCCAAAAGTTTCCACAATTTTCGCCACTACTGTACAATGGTTCACTGACAAAAGGGCGACCGACTAAATCGCGGTGACAAAACCGCGAGTTCTAAACCGCGCCAACAAATGAGCGATGAAGCGCGCTGACAACAGCGCGCCAACAGAAGCACGCTGTAAACATAACCCTGAACCGAATCCTGAACCTAGCCCTAAACCTAACCCTAAAAGTAACCCTGAACCTAACGCTTACCTTAACTTAAATCGCGCTGTTGTCAGCACACTGTTGTGGGCGCGTTGATGACGTCGCGGTTTTGTCGGCACGCTTTAGTCGAACGCGCATTTGTCGGATCACGCTGTACAGTTACTCTCCCTTAGCACCATTAAGTAGAGGCTGTGCCTCTGACAAGGCTCTTTCTCAGTCCTGTTATTTGAAAAAAATCAAGAATGGAAGCTTGGAAGCTCCTTCATTGTCCCTAGGGCTGAATTCCAAGACTTTCCATGAATCCGTGTCCTTTCAATTAAACTAAGTTGCTGTTTTGGAAAGCAATTTTTCCAGGTTCATTAGGACATTCTGCTCCATTCACCTGCTTTGATGTGTATTCCCTCCCCCCAAAAAAACCCCACAAATTATTTTGCGCTCTGCACATGCCACTTTAATCAGTAACATCTGCTATACAAGAATTCCCTTCAGTAGCAATAGCACTTAGACTTATATGGCGCTTCATACTGCTGTTACAGCCTTCTCTAAGCAATTTACAGAGTCAGCCTATTGCCCCCAACAATCTGGGTTTGCCTTCCACTTTGGAAGGATGGAGGAAGGCTGAGTCAACCTTGAGCCTGGTAAGATTTGAACTGCCAAATTGCAGTCAGCCGAAGTAGCCCGCAGTACTGCACTCTAACCACTGCGCCACCTCAGTAGCTGAAATGTACAAGGGGAAAAAAAAACTTGTCTTTGTCCAAAGATTTTTTTTTAATGCCATTTTCTTTCTCTTCTGGCAGGCGGTTAGAGTCCTGTCAGAGCTCTACCTAGAATATCCACAGCTGTACAACACCAGTGTGGTTTGCTCATTTATGCCAGATATTGTCTATAAGGTGAAGATTTCAAATCATTATTAATATCATAATTTTGTGACATGATAATAAGTTTTTGAGCAGGCTTGGCGTTAACACAAGATGCACAAAATGTTACCTCATAAACAGGGAGGCATATGCTACCTATTTTTTTGGAGCCCTAACGACATCTATGTAGTTCATTTTAATATGCTCAATAAACTGTGGGCCCTCCCTATGTTGGAAAATCAGTGTAAGAAGCGTTTGGATTCAGCCTAAGGGTTAATCAAATTGGTGTTTTACATTGGTTGAGGGGTGAAGAAATGTGTTTGTCTCGGTGCTTTTTATGCGTGTGTGTTCAGTTTATAACACCAATGCCCTACTTCATCTCTCTGAGGAAAGAGTGAGTAATAGGTAACTTTCTGTATGCAATCATCCTCTTTTAACAACCCCATAATCCTTTGCGGGGTGGAGTCTGGGCAACTGAATGGAGCTAGCAGAGTGTTTACTGGCCAGATGCCCTTCTTGTCACCAATGCAGAGTTTTGTTCGGCAGATAACATTCTCATTGTGCCCAGAGAGAAATATCCGCCTCTATCTAGGATCGAATTCACAGACCACTGCACCACTCCTAACTTTCTGTATGCCATAGGTGGGATATTTGTGTTTTAAAGTGTGTCTGCATTGACTGAACTGCTCATCTTCAGATGTCCTATCAAAAAGGCTGAAGCATTTCTGAACAAGATCTGTTCAACTTGGAAGTAAATGCTCATGGGGGGGGGGGAAATCAGTGGGATATCAAAGTTTTGCATCATAATGCAAAGCAAGGTGGATATTCCTACAAACCATGATTTGCAGTTTCATTCTCACAACCTCCCAAGCTGCCAGAATGTAGGCAAGGTTGTTTATTATAACCTCATTAAGGTATCGGGATGCACGCGTTTAGCTTCGTGTGATTTGGTCTTTTAGATGAAACAAGCTGACCGCAATGTCATAACAGCTCTGACCCACCGACCTTGGAGCATCAGTCACTATGGGGATGGGAAGCCCCGCTTTTCTGTTTATTGGAAACACTATTTGTCTATGACCCTCGACGTTATCATGGACTGGAGCATGCACAACTTCCTGTGGCATTTCTGTGGCGTTTCTGTTTTCCTGATGCAGAAAAATTACGTTTCACAGTAAGTTGAACAGCATACTTGAGTTTCACCAGTCTCTGGCTGCTAAGAGTTCTTGGCGGGGGATTGCATGGAGAAAAAAAAGACAAGCTGGTGTCACATTTATGAAACAAAGACCTGAGGAACAATGGGATCTGTAGAGAGAGCTTTCTCTGGACGAATCCCAAATTTAAACGGCTTTTAATCCTGAGGAACATTGGATCTACACTGAGCTTTTTCTGGATGAGTCCCAAATTTAAATGGCTCTAATTGCTTTTTTGGATTTTTAAAGACTTGCAAAATTTGTTTTGCTTGCCATGTAAATGTATACTACATCTGAACTAGACTGTTGTTTCTATGTCTCATATAATATATATGGGTATATGCATAATTTTTTATTTATTATTTTGTCATGTAGTGTTTATTGGAGGTGGTGACCCTTTGAGAGCTGTATGCAATGAAATTTCATTTTAATGTATGCCGATTAATGTACATTTAAAGTAAAAATGAAATCTATCTATCTATCTATCACTGTCTATATGTATCTCAGTATATCTTTGTCTGTCTTTCTGTCTCTCTCTATCCTAGCTTTCTGTCCTAGCTATCTAATAGATGTTGTCTACCTACCTATCTTCATCTATCTGTATCTATCTTATCTATCTCTAGCTAGCTATCCTAGCTATTTGTCTTATCTGTCCTATCTATCTAATATATGTGTTCTACCTACCTAACAATCTTCATCTATCTGTATATCTATCTATCATATCTGTCTGTCTGTCTGTCTGTCTATAATCTAATTATCTATCATCTATTATTTACCTATCTACCTACCATCCATCCATCCATCCATCCATCCATCCATCCATCTATCTATCTATCTATCTATCTATCTATCTATCTATCTATCTATCTATGGAAAGAACCGTATCAGAACAATAAAGAGGTTTTTAACATTTTTAAAACAAGCCAGAATGCAACTACTTGTCTCCTCATCATTTGTGCCTTCTTTCTTTTAGGGAGTACATAAATCGTTGGTCCTCTAAAGGGGTTCACGTTGTTGTTTGGACCGTCAACACGCTTGCCGAAAAAATGTATTATGAAAATGTTCTCCAGACCAGCTACATGACCGACAGTTTACTAGAGGATTGCGACCCTCACTACTAGCTTGATCTTCAACCCGCCGATTGGCTTCCTTAGTCAGACTGGAGTTCAGTGGGACTTTTATGATTTTATTTCATTTTCCTCAAGGAGAGGAAAACGATTACTTTTCAGGTTGCACCAAGCTACTTCCTTTTTTTGCTGGGAGATTTCTCATGACTAGCACTTTTCCTCCAAGAACGAATCGGCATCTTTTTAGTCAAATAGATACGTGCAGCTTAAACAAGGAAAAAAAACCCTATACTACAAGGTAGGCAGAATTAAGAGGGTTGGGAAATGGAACTTTTTGGAAAACTCATGAATGCTCCATTTTTTCCCCTGGACCTTCCCTGGCCTCTGCTGCGCTTGCAGTGGTTGGGCAGTTTTCCAGAAGTAAATCCGAAATAGTTTCGAGGCGTTCTGGAGAGGTCTCCTTGCGCCCCCAAACAGCTCTGTTTTATCCAGAACATCAGTTCAGAAAAATAGCCAATTACCCCAGTCAATATTTGGATGTTTTTTTCCCCAATGTTCTATTCCTAAATCTGAGTTTTTCACATTCTTGGTGCAAGGCATATCATAATGGCTGATTTATACTTGATCAAAACAGAACTACCAACTACACTGGAAAAAAACCTCTTGCTGTGTAGTCTTCACATGAATTGAAAGATTGGACTGGACTTAAGAAAGAACACAGGTTGTCTGTATTTGGGCTAGGACCATTCATTCAGCAAACGTGCCACGTTACAGCAGCGCTGAACGAATGGTGGTTACAACCAAACCTCGGATGTCCGACCATCAAAGCATTCCCACAGTCACACAAATGAAATCTGGGCAGCTGGCAACCAGTTTGCACTTACAACCAGTTCCCACGCCCCGTATTCACACAATCAGCTTTGCAGCCTTCTCTGCCAGCTTCTCCAGAAAGTCGGTGGGGAAGCCCACAGGGAAGGTTGCAAGTTACTGAGGTAAGTTTCTCACGCCTCCCTGCCCCCTAGTGCTTGTGCCAGTGGTGGGCTGCTTAGGGTTCGGGCAATCGTCTAGCGGAGATTCTGTGTGGTTCGGCAAACCTCCAAATCCTACTCCTGGCTGGCCCCGCCCATCCCGTTTCAAGCCTCCAGGGAGCCTCCGGAGTCTGGGGGAGACCATTTTCACCCTCCTGGAGGCTCAAGGAAAGCCTCCGGAAGCCGGGGAGGGCGAAAACAGGCCCCCTGCCATGGTGCAGGAGGCCAACTAGGCCACACCCACCCAACAACCGGGCAGAGAACCTGTTACTAAAATTTTTGAAGCCCACCCCTGAGTCTATCCATTTGTTCACCTTCTCTAACTAGCACCATGCCTCACCTACAACCCTTCACATCCTCACATCACCAAATCATCTACCCTTCCTGGCCCATGCCACGCTTCTCATGCACCTCATCACACACCCCTCCACACCATCAAGACACTGCCCCCCCCTCCTTGGCTCCTCCTTCTTCCCAGCAACAGCCTTTTACTTGTCTGGACCCTGCAACTTCCTGCCAGCTTCCCCACTGACTTTGATTGTGGGAAACCAACAGGAAGTTGCCTTGCCCAATTACCCTGGGATTCAGTTAACAATGGAAATCAAGAGTGCAATTTTGCAATTGCCATTGCGAAGCGATGTGGTGGCACTTTACAGTTGCATCGCTTAGGGACAGAAATTCTGGCCCCAACTGCTGTCTTAAGTTGAGGACTACCTATAGTTGGGGAGAATACTTCCAGCTATATCTGGTGTGCAAGTATTTTCTCTCTCCCGCCCGTAAATTCAAGGTGCCACTTCGATAACGCAGTTAACCTCTTTTATCAATACGTAGCAAGGCAACGTGCAATATATTTTGATGTGATCGAGCATTTAATGAAAGTTGGCAGTGGGAGCCTTTCATAGCTACCAGGGCTAGGATGATAAAAGCGAGGTGCATTTATTGCAGGTTTAAAAGTTCACTTTTGTTGAAGCTTGCATTTCTAACTTGAAAGAAACGTTTACATTGCATCTGTTCACAGACACCTGAAACAGTTCTTTGGACTGCGTTTTTCTTCAGTCAGGTCTTTCCAGAATTGAGATTTGCCCCAAATCGAAAGAATGCCAATTATTTGTAAGGATTGTTTCCATCAGGATTGAAAATGTCACCCCGTAAAACATCACCGTGTTAAAAGATTACAGCAATAAAGGTTTTTTTTAAAACAACATTTTGGATAACTGCTGTAATGGAAACCACTACTAGGAAAAAAAGGAAAACGGGGGATAAATTATCTCACGTATTCTGGTTATGTGTCATCTGAAAATGTGATACTAAAATGTTACACTAGTGCAAAAACTGCTGCCTTAAACTTTTGCCGTCAAGCACAAATAAAATTCTTGATATTTCTTACAAAATTTCTTAAGCAATCTCTCACTTGGATTATTTGGGTGAAGCAGAAACGGGCACTTAGCAACTGCCATTCATTTTGATCTCAAATAAAAGGTTATTTATCAATTGATTTAAAGTGCAGCTGCTAAGTCAAGCAAAATATATACTTGTGGTTATCATCATTCCAATATTCAGTTCCCCCCATGCTTCACCAACCACTGTTTAAACTGATATGAGCTGTAAATTTCTTTCTGCCTTTTTTCACCATGCTGCTATACTTGTTTTCTTTTCTTTTTAAATCAACGTTTCCTTTATTATTCTCTGTACTGTACAAATCTCTGTATAATTTCTGTAAAATAAAAATCCTGACAAACAAAGAAATGTGGAGGGAAAATAATGATGTTTAAGGAATTGTTCCTGGTGGTTATATTACCCTACTATCAGATTTCCATGATAAAATGAATTAATGTAGCCTGTTTCCTCAAATGCACAATAAGTTTTGGTGAGGTCTGAAGAGAGAGATTCTTGTCATAAGGAATAGTTCGGTGCCTTCATTTTCTGAAGTCGTAATAAAGTAAAACCTCATCAAATGTAAAAGTGCCCAGTAATTTTATTAAAAATTTCTCATTTTTAGAAGAGTTCTGTCGGTTCCTACAAATACCTTATTTGTGCAAATAGCAAAGTTCTAGACAAAAAGTGCTTGGTGGGATCTGTGTATCACTTCATTCTTCACTTCCACTTCAAGCGTTCTTCATCTTCCATTTCCCATTCAGCCTCTTGCCTGGCTCTCAAAGCTAAAGCCAGAGCATCAGATGCGCCAGCATTCTGGGTTATTTCGCCAGCCCCTGTTACAAGCAAAAGGAAGAAAACTGATAGCTCAGAATAAGAGAATTGGGACATCAGAGGCCTTCTAGTCCAACCCCTTCCTCAGGCAGGAGACCTTATGCCAGGGGTCGACACCCGCAGCTCTGGAGACCCATGTGGCTCTGTCATCCCTCTGCTGCCGGCTCCCTATCGCTCAAAATATGTGTCACAACTGCCAATGTGCAACACTTGCCAGCAGGCAATTTATTAAGCTTTTCGACCCCCGGTAGGTTTTGTGGCTCCCAGTCTTTTCTCTTTTTTTGTGGGAAACTGATCCAAATGGCTCTTTGAGTGTTTTAAGGTTGCCGACCCCTGCCTTATGCCATTTGAGAAACGGTTATCCAATCCCTTCTTAAAAACTTCCAGTGATAAGAGCACCCACAACTTCTGGAAGCAAGTTGTTCCGCTGATTAATTGTTCTCACTCTCAGGAAATTTCTCCTTAGTTCTAGGTTCGTTCTCTCCTCGATTAATTTCCACCTGTTGCTTCTTGTCTGGCTTCTGGTGCTTTGGAGAATAGGTTGATCTCCTGGTCTTTGTGGTAGCGTATCCATGTTCCTAATAGTCCCTTTAGGATTTCTTCTCCAAAAACACACCAAAATGCCACCCCTATTGAACACCCAATTCTCCTGCCCCAGATGTCCATGCACTTATGTGCCCCACATGGTAGAATGACCACGATTTCTAAAGAGGTTGTTTATATATATAGGCAACATTAAAAATAATGGCTTTGTCTGGATGATCTCTTGGGATGAGCCGATAGACAGAGAAAGGAAGCAGTATGCTTCCTCCCATATTTGGGCATATCGGGTTGTGACACAATAAATACCTATTTCCCTGGCCTAGCTGATAAAGGAGGAGAACCTGTGGCTTAATGGCTAACACAACTGCTAATA